CCCCCTCAGCTGCTGGAGCCCCCCAGAAGCCCCGGGTGTGATCCTGGGAAGCTGCGGATGTTGGAGGACGCTGAGGACTGGCAGCCCCGCACCGGGACCTCCCAGTCCCGCTCCTTCCGCAAACTGGCCCAGCTGACGGGCACAGATGGCAGTGAGTTCCTGCAGGGCCTGGCGCTGGCTGGGGGCGATGGACTGTGTTGGGGTAGCTAGAATCTGGCAGAGGCTGTGGGGTTATGTGACACCAGGGCTTTGGTTTTGGCTCCAAACCACCCCTTGAGGGCAGCTGAACCAGCGGGAGCTGCCCAGGGCTGTGTGTGAGCTCGTGGTGGTGCCACTGGTCTGGGGCTGTGCTCTGCCCCATGGCCGGGCAGGGCTATGCAATGGGGTAAGGGGATGGTGGTTGGAGTGGTTGGTTTTCCTCCTTTTCCTTTTCCTTGCCCTTTCCCTTCCTGTTGTGCCTGGGCCTTGATTGCAGCAGACTGAATCCGTCTCCCCCTTTCTCTCATGTTGTGCTCAGTGGAGGATGGTGAGGATGAGCTTGTTAAAAAGCCCAGGTAAGGGGAGTGTGTGCAGGGGCTGCATGTCCCAGGCAGGTGTCTGGGCACTGCTGGCTCTGAGCTGGGGATGCTGAGCTGCACCTTAGCTTTTGGGGCATATGGGTGGTGGAGGAGTCTGATGGCACTGGGAAACCTGGCTATGCGATGTTGGGAGGTGCTGGGTAGTGCCTGCACTTGGGGCACATAGTCCCTTGAGCCTGGTGTGGAGCTGCCAGGTGGATAGACTGAGCTGAGTGAGTACCACCAGCTCATTTGCCCTCACCCTCGCTGCTTGTTGTGACTCTCAGGAAGCCCTTTGCCCTGTAGTGGTTTCTTGTCTCCCTCTCCGTCCTCTCCCTTTCTCAGAACTGACCTGTTGGCAGAGCCACAGAGCCCCCCTTCCCTCAGCCCACAACAGACACTACCAGTGCTCAGCCACTGCTTTGACTCACCTTGGAGGGTCCTGCCTGGACACATATGCCATACAGGTGTCCTCAAATGGTGTCCCTGTGCCAAGCAGGACCTCTGGGCACTGCTGGCACCCGGCTGAGGAGGCTGAGATGCAGCACTGTGTGCTGGACACAGTGAGTGGGGGTGGCTGGTGGCACTGACAGCACCTTGATTGGGGTATTGGGAGCTCCTGGGCAGGAACTAGTCCGGGGCATGGTGTCCTGTGGGGCCATGGAATGGCTGCAAGGCTGGTCAGGAGTGAATGCTGTTGACATTTCCATGAGGCTCGTGTATCTCTGAGGCTGTGGGTGTGTACGTGAGGGATGAGCTGAGCTATGGGTCAACCATTGACTGTTGTGCCGCCGTTTTTTCTGATACCACAGGGATGTCCGTGGGTCCAGCTGGGGTATGGTGGAGCAGCGGTGAGTGCCAGGGTCTGGCAGAGGTGTTGGCCTGTGCCAGGGCACCTTTGGGAGCGCTACCCTGTGCTGAAGCAGGGTCTGTGCTTGGTGTTGGCTGAGCTCCTACCCTCTGTCACTCACAGGCAGCCCCCTCAGCTGCTGGAGCCCCCCAGCACCCCTGGGTGCAACCCTGGGAAGCTGCGGATGTTGGAGGACGCTGAGGACTGGCAGCCCCGCACCGGGACCTCCCAGTCCCGCTCCTTCCGCAAACTGGCCCAGCTGACGGGCACAGATGGCAGTGAGTTCCTGCAGGGCCTGGTGCTGGCTGGGGGTGATGGACTTTGCCTGGGTTGCTGGAGCCCAACAGGGGCTGTGTTGTGGCACCGTAGTGTTGTTCTTGGCCCTATGTGGTCCCCATGGGTTTCTGCGCCAGCGGGAGCTGCCCGGGGCTGTGTGTGGGCTTGTGGTGGTGCCACTGGTCTGGGGCTGTGCTCTGCCCCATGGCTGGGCAGGGCTGTGCCTTGGAGCAGAGGGATGGCAGGTGGGGAGGTCGATTTTCCCGCCTTCCCTTTCCCCTTCTGTTGTGCCTGGCCTCGGTCTCCGCAGACTGACTCTGTTTCCTCCTTTTTCTCCTGCTGCGCTCAGTGGAGGATCATGATGAGGTGTTTGTTAGGAAGCCCAGGTAAGGGGAGTGTGTGGCAGCAGAAGCCCCGTGGGGCTGCATGTCCTGGGCAGGACCCGTTGGGCATTGTTGCACCTCAGCTGGGAATGCTGAACTGCGCTGTCGTGCCCCAGCAGGTTGGGGGTGGCTGATGGCGCTGGCAAAATCCTGCTGGGGTGTTTTGATGTTTGGGCAGCACCTGCACCTGGGGCATGGTGTCCTATGGGCCTGGCGTGGGGCAGCTGGGCAGAGCTGGTGGCTGTCACCCACTTCTCCCTGTGTGGGGCAGGGAAGGCAGCCAGGGCTGTTCCTTGCTCCATGAAGCTGGGCGGGAGCGGTGCACTGCACCCCATTTTTTACCTTCACCTGCCTGTGATGCCTTCTGCCCTGGTGCTATGGCCCTTGGGTCCCAGCTCTGCCCAGTTTGCTCTGCCACTAATAAAAGCTCCTGGGTTCATAACCATCACCTTCTTGTGTTTGCCCTGGAGAGACATAGAGCCACAGGCTCTCCCTCTGTCCCTGTCCCCTCTCTCAGGTGGGCTGTGCCTCTCTGGCCCTGGCTTGCCCTGCTTGTCCCCAAATCTGCTGAGTTGGGCCCCAGGGCTTCCTGCATCAAGTCAGGTCCAATCCCCTCTGCACCCCAGTGTGACTGTGAGTGATCACCATATGTGAGCAGGCAGCCAGAGTCTGTGGGGCCCCCAGGGTCCCTGGTCAGTCCAAAGCAGCCCCGATCCCTCTCTCCTGCTGCTCCTCAGACCACCACAGTGGGTACCAGACACCCCAGGGGTGCTGTGTCTTGGCAGGACTGATGGTACCTCATCACCAAACCAGCTACCGGCTGGGCACGGGGGCTTGGCCAAGTCCTACCTGCTTGTTGGGGTGGGGGGCCCTGCCTGCACCCTCTGGGCAGCAGAGTGGGGCAGGCTGGATTAACTGCGTGTTCTGTAGCCAGGTCTCCGTGTCAGACCCATCTCCAGGAGCAGCGATGAAGACTGAGCCGGGACTGGGTGAGCAAAACATCTCTGGGCTTTTTAGGAGAGGAGTGGGGCTGCTGGGGGATGCCACTCGCCCAGCCACAGGTTCTGGGAGGGGGCTGCAGAGGGATCAGGACTGTTGTAGAGACTTGTGTGTGCATGCAGCCCCCAGGACCCCCACTGCCACCCCTGGCCCCACCAGCCGCCCACCCTGGGCTGTGGACCCGTCGTTTGCCGAGCGCTACGCCCCGGACAAGACAAGCACGGTGGTGAGCAAGCACAGCCAGCCGGCCACGCCGACCCCCATGCAGAACCGCAGCTCCATCGTGCAGGCGGCCCAGCAGGCCCCTGAGGGGCCCGGCCGCACCCCCCTCTGCTACAAGTGCAACAAGGTCATCAGGTGAGCCCTGGCCACTGCCACCCCCTGCCAGCGTCCTGGGCCCTGGCGTGGCTGACATGGCTCTGTCCTGCTGCAGGGGACGGTACCTGGTGGCACTGGGACATTATTACCATCCCGAGGAGTTCATCTGCTGCCAGTGCAGGAAGGTGCTGGATGAGGGCGGCTTCTTTGAGGAGAAAGGCTCCATCTTCTGCCCGAAGTGCTACGACACACGCTACGCGCCCAGCTGTGCCAAGTGCAAGAAGAAGATCACTGGGGTGAGTGTCCCTCAGCCTGTCCTGCACCTCCTGTCCTTGCTCCCTGCTCACCTACAGGTACCTGGCTCTGTCCCTTCCCACCATGATCCCAACGCATGGGATCCCTTGTCCCTTCCTGCTCTGGGTGGTCCTGCCCCTGGCTGACAGTGTCTCCCCTCCAGGAGGTCATGCATGCGCTGAAGATGACCTGGCACGTGCAGTGCTTCACTTGCAATGCCTGCAAAACTCCCATCCGCAACCGAGCCTTCTACATGGAGGAGGGACAGCCCTACTGTGAGAGAGGTAGGACCCAGGGACCCCATGTGTCACCCCATGTGGCCCTGGTGCACTGTTGGGGCTCAGCAGCTGCCCACAGGGGTGGGGAGTGAGCTGTCCTGAGCCACGGGGAGCTCCTGCAGCCCTGAGCTCTCTATCCCAGTCCTGCCGGTAGTGCCATTGCTCCTGTGTTGCCATGGTGATGAGGGAGGATGTACATCAAAGCGAGTGCTGCACCCTGGGAGATGAGGTTTGCCTCCTCCCTGCAGCCCTGTGGTGGCCAGGCCACTTGCACAGCACAGGCACTTTGCCTGGGTGTCTGGGGCATCGTCCCCTCAGGACTTGCAGCAGGTTGGCCCCAGGCTGTGCCTGTGGGTTCCCAGCTGAGCTGCTGCCCTGCTCCCCCGAGGTGATGAGGGGCTGTGGTGCGGAGAAACGCTGACCTGGGCTCTACCTCTCCACACAGACTACGAGAAGATGTTTGGCACCAAGTGCCGTGGCTGTGACTTCAAGATCGATGCTGGGGACCGGTTCCTGGAGGCGCTGGGGTTCAGCTGGCACGACACTTGCTTCGTCTGTGCGGTGAGACTTGTGCCTGTGTCTCTTCCTGACAGTCACGCCCCGTGTGGGGTACACCAGCAGCACAGGGACCCTGTTGCCACAAGGTTTTCCCTACTTGGCTCTGTGCTGGGGGCTTGGGAATTGGCTCTGAGCCTTTTGGTCCCTGCTACCTGTGTGACACCAGTGCTGGGCTTTGGGGGTGGGGGAGACCTGGAGGCTGACTCAGCCTCCCTGACCTGACCACCTGTACTCTCCTCCCCAGATCTGCCAGACCAACCTGGAAGGGAAGACGTTCTACTCCAAGAAGGACAAGCCGCTCTGCAAGAGCCATGCTTTCTCCCATGTGTGAGGGGTGGAAGTTCAGCTGTGCCCACCCATGCCCCTGGCCCTGCATGCTCCTCTCCCCCCATCCTGATGCCTCCAGGGAGCCAGGCTGGGCCCTTGGCCCTTCCCCTTGCTCCTGCCTCTTTCCTGGCAGCTCCTGGCCTGAATTCAGCTGGAGACAGTGCTGGGTGCAGAGCCCTTATAGCTGGGTGGCTTCTGTGCTTCCTGACTGGCCCTAGGAGCCCTGGGAAAGGGGACACTGCATGGATCTCCTGCCCCTGAACCACGCAGCATAGTGGGCACAGCTGTGCCGAGGCTGGAATCAGGGATGCTCTGGCACAGCCAGGCTGCTCCCTTGCTGCCTGGCAGCTCAGTGCTGGGGCAGGGATGTTCCTGTCACATCCCTGAATGGGTGAGGACCAGCCCCCTGCCACACTCTTCCTCACCTTCCCTGCTGTGTGCTTAGTACATGGGGCTGGAAACCCAGCCCTGCTCCCCTGCCCACAGCAACCCCCCAGTCACCCCACAAACTGCTGCAGTGGCTTCCTGCCCTGGCTGCATTCCAATGAGAGTCTGTGCCTTGCCAGCCCACTGTTCCCCTGAAGCTGGCAGCACCCCCAGCCTGGTGTGCCCCAGCCCTGAGCTGGCAGCGTGTGCTGATGGCCAGCTGACCATCTGCTCCCGCAAGGCTTGGGCACAGCTTCCTACCAAAGAGTGCTCTGCCACCACCGTCCTGGGCCCATCGATGCCCCCTCCCCCAACCCACACCCTCCAGTCGGGCTGCACTGATGTAGCCACGGTGCTTTTAGTGCCTTTAATAAACACATCTCTGCGAGTGCCGGCTGCCTCCAGGCCTGTGGTTTTACTGAACGAGGTGCAGCCAGCTGGGAAGGTCATGCTCTGCCCTCATCCTACTCCCCCCTGGGGCCTGACTCAGCTCCTTCCAGCTTTCCAGGGAAAATCTTCGCCTCAGATTTCTCCTCCTCTGCCCGCGCCAGCCCAGGCTGGACCCCTTAGGCTGCTTGGGTCATCCCTCTGTGTTTGTAGCAGGCAGGATCACTAACAGAGGCAGTAACTAATCTGAGGGGCAAAATGGGGCAGGGGTCTCACCCTGGTAGTCCCCACTTACCTGGCAGTGTCCTCTGGTCCCTGCTGTGCCCTGGCCCTGAGTCCTGCACAGGGGACAAGAAGTCATGGGACACACGTGGGCCACGTGCACCAGCTCTGGGCGTTCTCCGACACGGAGCAGCCAAGCGTTCGCTCACGCGATGCAGCTGCTGTCCCGGAGGATGGGTGTGAGGCTGTGCCGGCACCTCCGCCTGGAACGGGCTCGAGGGCAGCGGGTGTGGGGAAGCGAGTGTTCTCCTCCTGCTCTGCTCTGACAGCTGGAACGGTCATTAATAATTGCAGCTCTTGCAGTGATGAGCAATTGTAAGGGAGATTGTCCTGCTAATCTACTGGAAGGTTCCACGGGGGCAGGAGCTGGCTATGGGAAGCCAAATGCCTCCTGGCATTACCCAGATCTGGGCAGCGGTGCCACATCTTCCTACTGCCAGCTACAGGAGTGCAAAACCCCATCAAAGATGAGGCAGGGAAAAGAGTGATGGAAAATGGCTGAGGCTGGGCTGGGTGCTCAGGCTGTGCCACATGTGGGCAGTGGGATGGTCACACTGAGGAGCAGCAGGACACAGCTGTAAAAAGGGACAGAAACAGACAGTGCCTGCCTGGCAGGGCTGGGAGGAGCAGGGATGGGTGAGTGCCTGAGCGTGAGTCCCAGCTGTGCAGCCAAGGTCAGGGGAAGCACAGGGGAAGGTGAGGCGACTGCGGCCCCACGTGAGTAGCTACCAAGCCAACCCTGGCTCAGCCTGGACAGCAACCAGTGAGTGGAGGGCAGGGAAAGGGCAGGGGGAGGCAGCCGTGCGGGACGGAGCCTGCGGTGGTAGCACGGCCTGTGAACAGGTTCTGCCAGCTCAGCCTGGGGGTGCCCGGCCTTGGAGGAGGGCCAGGGCAGAGCCACAGAGCCACAGCCAGCCCCCCTGTGCCACTGCCAGGTCTGCACTCACCAAGGCTCAGCTCCTTTGGGTTCATGCCCTGTTGCCTCTGGCCCTACTGATGATGGCTCTACCACCCAAGGTGCCTCTGTGCTTTGCCAAGAGCAGCTCTTGCCCACCAGCTCTGCGCACCATGTGAGGAGCTTGTGCACAGGCAGCGGAAGGAGGGTCTCGGGTGGGCTGTGGAGGTGGAGCCTTGGGAGGGGCTGCAGCCTCGCTGCTCTGAGAACAAAGCCTGGCAGCAGCAGGCTTAGGGCTCCCACCATGTCCCTGAGCAGGGTCCCGCCACATCCACCCCCAAAGTCATCTGATCCTCTTGTGGGGTGCCTGCCACGGCCCCAGCCCCCTCACTGGCCCCGGCAGCTGCTCTGCAGCTGCTCCCAAACTCTCACAACCTCTTAGGGCGGCTCCCACTCTGGCCTCACTCAGAAATGCTAGTGCAAGGAGGGCATGAGGGGAGCAGACAGCACAGGCAGGGCCCATAGCACTCTGTCCCCTGTCCCACTGAGCTCATCCACAGGCTGCTCTGAAGGGCTTGGTTTGGGAAGGGTCACACTAGCAACAACCCCAACCTGCAGGGATCAGGCCACTGCTGCTCCGGCAGAGAGAACCCTTCAGCACGGTTCTGGTCCAGGCTGGGGGCAGTGCTGGAGGACAGGGTGACACTGCCTGCCCTGGCAGGAGCATGAGGACCTGGCTGGGAGCCCCTGCAGAGCCCTGCGTGGGTCAGTGCAAATGCAACTGTGAGAGTTCACACAGAGGCAAAACCTCCTGGGAAAGGTTGGACAGAGCCTGGCAGAGTTCTGATGGGAGGCAAGGACTGGGGGCAGTGGGCATGGAGGGGTAGGCAGGCAGCAAAGGGGCCCCCAAAAAGGCTGTGTCCACTGACTCATCACAGCAGTGAGAGCACAGCTGGGTGTGTGGGGCAGAGCCCACGGTGCCGTGTCCTTGGAGAGGAAACCTCGGGCACGAAGACTCTGTGGGGTGGGGGAGCTGAAGGCATAGGAAGCCGGGTGTTGCTGTATCCCCTGAGTGAAGAGAACATGGGGCGGGGGAGGGTCCGGAGATGCAGAGGACCACCCAGTGAGGTTCCCAGGGTGCAGGTTCCCGGGGGGGCAGCACAGGATGCAGGTCCCCAGGGCGGAGATGAGAAACCACCCGGGGTACAGGTTCCTGTGAGGAGCTGAGACGGGGTTCAGTGTCCCTGGGGCGAGGGACGACCCGGGGCGCGGTGTTGCTGGGACTGAGCAGAGCCCGGTCTGCGGGATGCCGGGGGCGAACTGTGTGCGGGGGCGATGCCCTGTGCGGGGGCGATGCCGCCCGCATCTCCGGGGTCCCGGCCAGGGGCCGGTCGGCGCAGTCGGCGGCGTGCCCTGGGGGCGCTCCGGGGGCGCGGCGGGGGCGGGGGCCGGTCGGCGGGGGGCGGAGGGGAGGGGAGGGGGGCCGCCGTTCGCGGCGCTAGGACCGGGCGCGGCGGCGGGCGGAGCCTCCCCGCCGCTCGCCCCTCCGCCCGGCCGCTGCGGCAGTGTCTCGGAGGCGGGCAGGCGGCCGGTCCCTCCGGTCCCCCGGCAGCATCCCGGCCCTGCCATGGCTGGCGTCGGCTTCGCGGCGCACCGCCTGGAGCTGCTCGCCTCCTACCAGGACGTGATCGGCGAGGATAGCCCCACCGACTGGTGAGCGCGCCCGCCGCCGCCGCCGCCGCCCCTTTGTCCCCGCCGCCGCCGCCGCCCTTTGTGCACGGAGCCGCCCGGTAACACCGGCCGCGCCCCGCGCTGCGCCCCCCGCCGTCCCCGGGAGCCCCGGCACACAAAGGCGGGCGGGGCGGCGGGGGGTGTGCCCGGCCCGCCGGCTCCGGTGCCCGCACCTGCCCTCCGCCGCCGCACCGGGCCGGGGCGCGGTCCCCGCTTTGTCTGCGCCGGGCCGGCACGTGCGAGCGCCGGGACCCGCCGCCCCCCGGAGCCCCCGGCGCGATCCCCGCCGGATAGCGAGAGCCGGGAACGGGGGATCCGCGCACGGCGAGGAGGGCCCCGGGGGGCTCCCCGATACTGGGCCCGGCCCTGGTCCCTCGCCATTGTCTGGAGCCGGAGCCGCGGGCAGGGGCGCCCGGGGGCGGGGGATGAGGAGGGGATCGGGGCACCCCCAGCCCGGCCCCGCTCCTCAACCGGCCACGCTGGTACCCCGACAGCAGGCGGTCCCGCTGCTCGGCGGGGCGAGGCCTGCGGCCGCGGGGGCACCAAGCATCCCCCGCTGCCCCCGGATCCCCCAAGTTCCGGGGGTGCCACATCCCTGGGGGACCTCGGTGCGTCGGCCTGGGATTGCCCCGGCGGTCTGGGATTGCTGCGGACTTAGGGTGGGGGGTGGCTCTCTCCGGTGGGACCCCACGGCTGCCCACCCTGCTCTCCATACCTCAGTGCGGGGCACTCCGTTCTGCGGTGCCGGGGCCCGGCTGGATCCAGGCCCCGCTGCAGGGAGCATCACCCGCTGCCAGCCCACGTCCCCCAGCGCCCACCTGCATCTCCCACTCCACCGAGGTGCCGTGGGGCTGGCTGGGGCCGTCTGCCCCGAGACCCCCTCGTTGCCCCCCAGGGTGCCTGTGCCGTGCGGGGATGATGCCGGCACGCCGGGGTGCAGCTCTCTGGGCAGAGCCGGAGCACTGGGCGGTGTGGGGTGCTGGGTGCATGCTGTGCATGGTGCTCTCCGAGGGGGCGGGGAGGGGGCTACTGTGCACCCACCACTCAGCCGGGGCACCCACCTCCCAACTGGGCTGCACCCACCGCCCAGCCGGACACACGCCCATCTTTAGCCGGGTCCCTGCTCTCGGGATAGGGCTGCGTGGGCCTGCGTAGGTCCTGGTCCCCACCAGCCCTGGGGTCTCCGTGGGGCCCCGAGGCCCCGCCGGCAGCCCAAGGGCACTGTGGGCAAGCGCCGTGCTTGTTGCCGACCAGGCGGCAGCTGTCAGCTCTGGGTACATCTCGCTTCCCGGCATCCGCTGCAAAGGAGCCGTCCCTGCCAAAGCTGCTGAGAACAGCAGAATCGGTTCCCGGGAAGGCGAGTGCTGATGCCGGGTCTCCCCCCACCCTCTCAAGCGTTGAGGCCGGCCGGGCAGTGATCCCTCGCCATCCCCGTTCTCGGAACTGAGATTGCCGTCGTCCCCAGCTGCTCCATCCCATGGCCACTGGGATGCCTGGCACTCGGTGCCCGTGGTAGCACCATCCCTCCTGCAGGGCCCGGTGCCGGGGTGTAGGATGAGGGGTGATGTTGGGGGGGCTGCATCGGGCAAGATGATGGGGACAATCCCATGGGGTGGGGGCCCAGCCTGGCTGAGCCAGGTTCTGGGAGGACACCGCGCCAGAGCCCCGGTCCTGGGCTGGTGCCGGGGGATGCCGCGTTCTTGCCTGGCCGAGATCCCTGTGTTTAGTCTGGGATTCCCCCTGCTCCAGCCCGGTCCTGGAGGGTCCGACCATCCCCTCCCCCTGCCCGGCCCCGCGAAGGCTGCTGGGGCCCATTAC